ACAACATCGTATTAGAATGAATGGTACCTTCAGGGAATACGGAATGTAAACAGACAGCGTTTCAGAAAGAAACATTCAACCACATATTATTAACACGAGAGGTAACAAGCAGGCACTACGGTAGCAGTGTTTTACACCAAAATTCCAGCTCTGCGAGGCCTGGACTGTGCTCTTGTGGCTTTCTGTGTCACTCGAGTCTCTCAGCGGAGTTATTTTCTCGTATTTATTTTTGCTCTATTAATACAAATTGTGTGATTCTACTGAACAGCGACTGTCTGCTGGAAAGACTGACTGAAGCTGTGCGTGACATTACTCTGGGCTCCTACGCTGCTGTTAATTACGCTGAGAAGATAGGTCTGAGCACAGGGCCTCCTTGCCTTGCCATCCACCCGTTCCTGTGCAGATAAGAAGATGGAGGCTGCAGGAGCATCAAACAGATGAAATCAAACCTTTCCGATTTCGGAATTTCTAGAGGGAAACAGCAGCCATGTTAAGGATGGTCATCTGCTTGGTCTTTGCGGTGGTAATGATGGCCTTTATGGTCATTTCTAGCCACCGGGCTATCCACAGACAAGGCAGGCAGATTAGTTTGGTCCAGAGGTTCATGATGCTGAAAAGCAGCTCCAAGAAAATGTCAGGAAGAGGTTTGAGGAGGGAGGCACCACCAAATATGGAATTTTATTTTCCATCAGGCAATGAAAACACAGTTCCCTAGTTCAGCTGAAAACTTTTTCCCAGACTGGCTGCTGAACTTAGTAGGAGGAAGGTTTTTTCAGTTGGCTGCGGGGGGATGGAGGGGTGGCTGTTTTTTAAATCAATGGAGAAAGCAAAAACCCCACTGTAAATTTCTAGGGCAAGTGGCAAGCTGGTTTACGGAATGCAGGGAGATGAGAACCTCTGGCTTACGGAAAGCAGCATGAATTAATAATCATTTAATTGGCTTCTCCATTATGTTGCTGGGTTGGGAGATGGAAGTTTAGATGAAGGGGCTGTCAGTGGTACTTTAGCTAAAAGACTCTGACGGTCGGGAGGCGGGGGTGGTGACTCCCTTTCCACCAGGATCAAGAGTAGTCAGCTTTTCGGGACAGTTGCCATTTTCACCTCTGGACCTAGCAAAAGAAAGGATCCACACTTCTAAGCGAGCATCCCCTCTCACCTCTGAAATAAAACCTGGGAGGATTTTTCTTCCTCTTCTGAAAGCAGAAGTTGCTGAGAAAGAACAAGAAGAAAGGTAGGCCTCCAAAAAGTGCTCTGGTAGGCCAGCATGCCTGCAGCAGCTCTGTCCTGTTGCCTTTGGCTTTCAGGTGCATTTGTTGAGAAATGCGTTTTTTTCGCAAAGGTCAACAAATCTGAAATAAATCCATTTAAAGAGTCAAAATAATAAAAATAATAATTGAAAAATTGTCATACATCATACTTTAGACCCAGATAATCCTTCCTTTTTCTTCTTTGCAAGGCCTTTATCTCTAAGCATGATCTTTTATATAGTTACAGCACAGGCTGTGTGCTCTACCTTGTCTAGTACTGAGCTGTGATTTGGAGGTGAGGCCTTTTTGACATTTTCAATCTAGGACATTTAATCCGGTCCACTCCACGCAGAGATGCAAAGGTCCTGCACAGCTGTCAGAGCGCTCTGCAGGCAATCACAGAGTGTACTCAGAGCGGATGCAAGCTGCATGTCCTCATTTCTCCGAGATGGAAGAGAGTTCTTAATTCCTCTGATCTGTGATGTGGACTGAATGTGTCACTTATATATTTGGCTGCTTATGAACAATAAACTTTGGTCTTGATGTTAAAATTCCCATTTGAGTTGTCAACTAAAAAAATAATGCTTAGAGCAAATACTGAGCATATGTTTTTGAGAACGCTGCAAAAAAAAACAGTTATTCTGGGGCCTGGGCAAATATTAATAATTCTGATTTTGAAGAATTACTGTTATGTGTTGGATCAAGTGCACTTGATAATAAAAATGGGCACTTTGGAGACAGTAAGCAAAAGTAGGTTTTTAATTACCTTTTACTTTTCCCTACTCCTAAGCAGGCCGCTTCCCAGTAGGAAGGAAATAGGAAAAAACATTAATGGCTTCAGAGGTTATAGCTAGTATTTAGCAACTCTGGGGCAACTGTCTGCAATTGGGATACTAAAATTAGTGGCTGTGTCTGAAAACATCACATTAGTGCATTGCTAGAGATTGCACGCAGTGAAATCAGTGGCGTAGCCAGGATAAGAATCAGCGACTCCCTGAGCTCCTTGTTGTACCTTGCTATAAACAGCACCAGATCTCATCGCTGATGGAGAGATCAGTGTTGCAGGTTCCGAAAGCTTAATTTTGAAATGGATATAGCTGTAGAGGAGGTCACCTGGTTTTTCTCTTTAATACAGTCTTGTAGGTATTTAGTGATACCTGCTTTGTTTCCAAAGCTGAGAGTGTTTTCATTCTTTAATTTGGAAGGATGACCAGTACATTTTACCTAAGATTTCTCTCGTCATTTTATTTTACTACCTCGCAGTCCCTTTCCCCTCTTGCAGCACTGAGTGATTTCCGCACATAACTCACTGGAGCACTAATCGGTAGTTTTGTAGCATAATTGATACTCAAAGGTTTGAAGTGGCAGTTGATAGATACTGAGTCCAGAGAGACCCTCCCCAAGCCACGTTGCAGACGTAATTGCCAATCAGCACGGAGAAGTCTAAGGGGACCCTAAATCTTGGGAGGCTCGTTGTCGCGGCCCCGGCAGCAGGAGAGGAGCAGAGCTCCTAGCCCTGCCTGGCTGCGTGCGGACGGATCTTGGCGATCTCTCCTCAAGTCAGTCCTGATGCCTGGCTTCCTGATTGCAGCTGACAATTTAATGTCTGAGGTCAACCCGAGGAGTGGACAATGTCAACGGTAGTTAACCTCCTTACTGGGGCCACTCTCACGTCACACACAGCTTAGCCAAGGCGTTTCAGTGCAGGGTGATCCTCCACCAGCCGCAGCACATCAGATCTCGTTCGGAGTTGGCCTTGCCCTTCCTAGGAGCCTGTGGCTTATCAAGTACAACGGGCTCCCAGTGACGTTTTCTCTGCTGTCCCAAACCCCCTTACAAGGGGCTGCTTTCCTTGGCAAGAAGGAAAGTATGGACTGATGCTGTGCTTTATACTCCAAGGATATTGCACCATCTGGAAGTAAGAAAGGCTAACTCTAGGCCTGCAGATGTTTTTAATGACTTTCCAGTGCTGAGCCCCAGAGAAGGTGTCAGGTCCAGTCAGCAGTTTTGACCTGAATCAAAGCTTACTGTTCTGTGCAGGGAGCAGAATGGTGCCTGCAGTCTGGTAAGACAACGCTCATACCACTGGCTTGCTTTACACAAAGAAACTCCAGGTTGGGACTTTTTAATAGAACTGGAAGAGCAATGGGGGTCCTCTTTTTTATTTTCATATATATATTCATGGATTTTACATCTGAGCATGGAGGTGGTGTAACAAGCTAGAGTTAAAATACTAAGCATGCAGCAGAGTAGGAACAAGGGGCAGAGCTGTGTGGTAAGGAAATCACCACTAAGCAGGCTTTGCCATGGCCAAGTCTACAAGGAGGTCCTTAGTAGTGCTAGAACTCATCAGATCCCTCCCTCCTCCTAACAGTATTGTTATCTATTTGCAATATCTATTTTCCATTTCCTGGAGGTTATTTTGCCTCTATTTTGTGGAATGCTTAGAGGTGGGGGGTCTGGCAGGAAAGGAGGTTAGAAATGTGGATTGCACTTCTTATTTTGGTATGGTACTTTTTGAGATACGTCTCGTGTCAGTAATTGAAAGAATCTTTGTGAAGGAAGTAGTTTACCTGATCTTGCTCTGACCGCATCTTCTGAAATAGGGTGCAGATGCCAATGAGTTCACAAAGAGAATAAGAGACAGGGAGCAGAGTATGGGGGGACCAGTCTAAGAATGCTACAGTGCCTTGTTAATCGGCAGCCAATCCATCATATTAAATATCCAGCTGTCATATATTACCTTTCAAGTGAAAATGAATAACTCCCATTAAGGGCGAAATGGGTTTGAAGTCGATTCGAGACAGATTAAAGTACTGTTATGAATGTGTGTTCGGGGAGGAGGAGACGGGGGCTGTGTATAATATACTTGTCCTTACAGTTTTTAAATAATAGATGTCCCACAAATTTATGTACTCCAGGATACGGGGGGGGAGGGGTAAAGGTCAGAGGATGTGCATTCTGCGAAGTGCCTCAACTTACGAAGTGTTTTACTATTGAGTTTTTGGTTTTGTCTGCCTCTTTTTGTTTTGATGAATTAAAATTGCATCTCATCAACTTGTTACAGTTGGTGATTGCCTGGATCTAGTCCCAGCACTAGCTATAGGCTGGGTTCTGCTGTTGATATCCCATTATGATTTTGGTGGGACTGCTTGCTAGGGATTGCCCTGAGATATGTTCTCGTCCCAGAGCTTGCACGAGTTGCATGCGCTGAGCGTGCGGGTGCTGGCCTTCTAGCAGTGTGCACTTGCTTCCAGGACTGAGGTGCAAATGAGTTGTGTTGCACTGCCACAGCTTTCAGCTGTCTCTAAGGCAAATGTCTTCCAAAGCGGTTATATGCAAAACTTTGTATGTTCAGAGCTAGGAATATGAATTCCACTTTGTCATGTGTCTGTCCAACTGCTCGTGGAGATGACATGTTGGCCTTGATGTCTGGCCAAGCATTTGTATGCAGGCATAAATACAGGAAAAGACTCTTCCTGCACCTAGCAGGTTGTAAGCAGTCTACATAAATAGCTGTGATTTCTCTGCTTCGAGCTGTGAATTTGACACAATTCCTTTATTACGGAAGATAATCAAGAAAGACCTTTTTTTGGCCAGCTGTGATTTGTAGGATGTAAGTTAATCCGTGTACACTTTCTCCTCCCAAGTCTTGTGTTTCAAGAAACTGCAGCAGTGTAAATGGAAATATTGTCGTCATCCAACTTAAGCCTCTTTGGGGGTATCCTGATACAAATCTCTTTTTTGTTGCAGCACCAGCCAGCCAGGCAGAGAAGGAGCTGACAGAGCCTCCAGCATCCTCTAAACGCATGTCATTTCCCAGCAGCTCTGAGTCACCTCTCTCCTTTAAATGGTCAAAAACTTCAGAGGAGACCAAATCAGAGCAGGTAAGGAGCAAGAACCCCGTTTTCTGTGTACCTGCAAGCAGATGATTTGTTTCATGTATGCCAAAAGCAAAAAAATAAGATGATAACGACAGAAGGTGGTAACTGGTGGTAGGAAAGGCATCAAATTATTAAAGTCTAGCTCTAAGAAAAGAGGAAAACAGCAGCTGTAGCAATTGCATGATTCATTTGTCTTGCTCTGCAGATGTATCAGTGTCCATATTGCAAGTACAGTAACACAGACGTGAATCGGCTGCGGGTACACGCCATGACCCAGCACTCAGTGCAACCCATGCTCCGCTGCCCACTCTGCCAGGACATGCTGAATAACAAGATCCATTTGCAGCTGCACCTCACACATCTGCACAGTGTGTCACCTGACTGTGTTGAGAAACTCATCATGACGGTAAGTCGCTGCATATTCAAACATGTCTGCTGCCTTCTTAGAAGGTACGAAGATAAAAGGGATGCCCTCACTTGGACAGGCTAACGTTGCTGCAATGCGCCACTCTGGGCAACTCCCTGATCTGTCTGGGCTTTCTCATTGAGATTTTTCCCATCTCTGCATGTTTTGTCTGCAGAAGCTAGGTTGTCCGTGCTTGAGCACTGTGAAAACTGGCACTATTGCTATATTGAGTAGTTTTCCTATGAAGAGATTGGAACAAATAAGATTTCCCTTAACTACTGAGGTCATCACATAGGACTGCACTTTGCACAGAAGCTTTCGGAGGTGAAGTAGTTGATGTGCTGTGCTGCTCCTGTTGCAGAGAGAGCGAGTGCTCCGTATGTAGATTAGCACTTCTGAAGAGGGACACCCAGGGTTGTTAAGGTAACAGATTACAGGAAATTGGGTATTGGGTTTCTGCTTAAAATATGATTTTAAGAACCAATAAGGTTACTTCCGTCGGCAGTCTCGTCTTGTGGAGGAGAGACAGCAGTCCTATCGTGCAGCCCATATCGTGTGCGCGCTTCATTCACTTCATGAAGATCATTGTTATGGTTGTATGAGACAAGTTGGAGCTGTTATTTCTGTGGGGAATCGTTCCATCCAAAATAATCATGCTTTTGATATATAACAATTCACGTTCTCCAGGGTAACCTGAACAAGCAAGGGATATGCTGCAGTTGGCCCAGGAGAGCTTGAATCTTACGTGACTGTTGAATACTATGAAGGGACTGTTTCGAGTGCTATTTTCAAAATATTTTGAAATGCCTGATCTGAAATTGGATTTTAAGACGAGTTAAAATTCTCTGAAGTAGGAAGTTAGGCCAGTAAAGTGTTGATTAGAAATTCTGTAAAGAAAGTCAACTGTTTTCATATAGAACTCGAAATTTGTAACAAATCCACTTCTAGAACTGTTTGTCAAACAAGACCGTGGCTTTGTGTGGGTTGTGATTGTCTGCTCTGAAGTGGAGCAGAAGCTTCAGATAGCACACTGGTTCAGAACAAATGTATTTGCTTCCGGCTTTTGTTCTGTCCTGCATCGTTGTTTTAGCATCTAGTATGGGAATCTTCCTCCAACACTATCTCTGAGGAATTGAAATTCAGCTAACTTCAGAAGGAATTAGAGCGCTTGATAAGAAGTAGTTAATTACCAGAGCAGTGCTCAAATTCTCATTCGAGAGACCTGTTTCTTTTGTTCTGGCTTCCTTTTTCTCCCAGAGCTGTTGATTGAGACTCTCTTTTTGCTACGGGCGCGTGTGTAGGGTAGTGTCCACGACTGCTGGACCTCATCTGTGGGACCTTTGCACGCTTACAGTGCAAAAAATCCTCATAAAGGTGCACCCCATTCTCCAGCACTGAGGCATTTGTTTGAGTAAATAACAGTTTGACTCTCAGACTGTTTCTTTCGTGAATTTCCTTTTCATAGGTTTTACATGAACGTAAAACCTTTCCACTAGCTAGTGTCAGTTTAAGATACAGGTAGAATTAATAAGGCACATTTTCAAAAACCCTTCTAAATTCACAGATGGGATGTATTGTCAGGTTTCTACACTGCTTTTTCTTTGGCATAGTCTTCAAGGCAAGGTTGTGTCTGCATTTAAGAACTTGTTGCCAAGTGTATAAAATTAAGTGTTTATTTTGATTCCTGTCGGTTCTTTCCCTTTGTGATTTTTTTTCTTGCACCCCATTTTGGCTTGTTTTTCCCTTCTTTTCTGATTTCTGACAATGGAAGAGAATAATACCACATATGCCACAATACTTGTGCTCTCTTATCAACTGCCCTTCTGTGGCATTGTTTGAGCAAGCACATGCTGTGTTGCCCAGCTTCTCTTACCCTTCTTTGTTCTTTTCTTTCTCTCTCCCTTCCAGTCATCTTGTGCCTCCATCTCAACCCCCATATGCTTTTTATCTTCCTTCCTTGGTTTCCTGGGTACTTGTCCTCTCACTTTTCTGCCCTGGCTGTCCTGCACCCCTGGGCAGGCCAACGAGGGCTCGTAGTGGTCCGTATTGGACCAGGCTCTCACAGCCACCTGCAAGAACTCGCTGTACTCCACGTAGGAACCACATCCTAATATCCATTAAAAAACCAGCAATGTTGACAGCTCCCAACATTTTCCGAATACAAAATACGAGAGACTTGGGGGAAGAGAGCAGCAGCAATTCACTGACACAAGGTGGTTGCAGCCATGGGCTCTAGTGAGCGCGTGACCCTGCTCTGCTGGATCCACTGCATGTATCCAGGTTAAGGAACTGTCCCCAGCACAAAGACCTAGCTCTCTGGGGCCTACGTCCATTTTAAATTATGGTAGTTAAGTATGCAAATACTTTTTGAGGACTTGAACGAAAGTGATTAGCTTCCAACTACAATAGCGGAAAATATTTTGAGCTTATAAAAGCGCTAAGCAGAAGCTGAGCCGCTTTCTTATGCCAGCCAGTGTAACCAGTTTGCTGAGGGCATCTGTTGAACTGGTGTGAAAATGGTCAGTTTCTGAGTTGGGCTATCTACAAAACTAGCAGTCTAGAAATGGGCGTGGTTAAATTGGTGCCTGCTCTTAACCCAAGTGAAGGTATATCCTCCAAGATACAGGCAGACTAATAGAAACAACTCATTAAAGAGCTCAAACGCACCCCACCGAGGACATGCCGAAGCAACTGCTTTGGTGCGGAGGACAGTTGTGTTAGGTCTGTGCGTCTTCTGTGCTGCAGCAGGACCTCATTCTGCCGCTGCAACGAGCAGGACTTCTGCTGAGAAACGAGGAGGTTGCCTCGTCCACAGAGCTCATGCTCTTGCTCGTTTCTTTTTTCATCTTGCTGTTGCCGTCAGCCCTGGATAGCTCTTTCCTTTGGTACCCGGCGACGTGTCTGGGGAGGAAGGCTGTCTCTTCTGGTTCAAACAAATTAACACGTGGGTCAGGAAGATTGTTCTTTTTTGCATTAAATGACAAATACATTAAGAAATCAGCACGGCTTGTGCAGAGCACGGGAGCATCAAACCTTCCTGATTTTGCTTATTCCAGCTAAGATTCCTGTCTCGGTCTGGCGCGTGAATCAGGTCCTGGTGCCACTGAGAGCGAACTGCAGCCCAGTAAATGGGAGCCAGGTTCCTTTCGACACAGTGTCTTTGCACTCGGCGTTTGGAGGAGGCTCCAGTTAATAATACCTTATCAGACGCCTTTCAGGAACCTGCAGTGTCTAATATGTCTGTTGCCATAGGAACCGCTGCTTGCTTATGCTCCGCATCTCATATCTGTGTGTTTCGTGCCCCTTCCTTTTCGTATCAACGAGCAGCCTGGACGAGTGTCCCACAGGGAGCGGTGTGAGCGCGGCCTCCCCCCGGATGCCCTGCCAGTCGCGCCCGCGGCGGGCCAGAGGCACTTGCAGGATGGCAGCGGAGAGCCCGAGCGCACAGCGAGGTGGCGAGGGGGGCCCGGACGCCCACGGGGGAGCCCCCGGCGGGGTGGGGGCCGAGGCCGGGCGCCGGGCCACCCTTGCCCGTCTCGCGCTCTCCTGCTGCTTCCGTTTCACGGGGCTGGTGGACAGATGTGACGCAGTGTGTTTTATGTGGCGTTTCACCAGCTCCGAACTAGTCTAATCGCCATCTTTCCACATAACAGCCTCTTTGCTAATCTCGGGCCTGCACCGCTTCAGCAGAGAGCTCCTTAATGAGGGTGAAGTGCAGTTCGCCTGCATAGTCGATTGACAAGACTGATGGGCTCAAAATAGGAGAGCGGGCTGCTTCCTGAGCAGCCTCCAGTAACGGGGAGCTCTCCCTCCTCCCTCTCTGCTCTCTTTATCTTTCTGCACATTCCTCTCTCTCTTCGTTTAATTCTGTTGTCAGCTTTCTCTTCCTCTGTTTAAGGCGTCTTTCCAGTGTTTCCAGCTGTCTTTTCATCTTTTTCTTTTCTCTCTTGCTCTAAAAGTAATTCTTCCCTATCGCTGCCATCCTCGCTTCTCTCTCATGCTATCTTTACATTTTTTTCCTCTTTCCTATTGTCTTTTCTTATTGCTCTCTCCCTTCTGCTGTCATTCAATTTTTCTCTCTCCCTCCTTCTCGCCCCCTCTTACTCCCCCCTTTCCCTCTCACTCTGTGTCTCATTCTCCATCTCGGATGAAGGTAATGAAAATAATCGGGCTTCATTAATTCTGAGCCCTGTGAGATGATAGCCATTTGGAGCCATGTTTGCCAATTAGATGGTCTAAATTAGAAGTGACCTTGGTATACTGCCATCGCTTTGCTTCTCTGAGTCTAATGAAGCTTTTCACTCCAGCACCCTCTCTCTCTCTTTGTAATGGAAATTACCTCCTTTGTCTGGTTCGGGAACCTTGCATTGCATGTGTATTTCCCCCTGGTTGCATGGACATACGGATAGTAATGTACCTCCTCAGACCCTTCCTAGAGATTTTCTTTTCAAAGCCACATGATTTCAGCATTCTTGGGGCATTTACAGAGGAACCATGTAGAACCTCCACGTGTTTGGTCATTTGGTCCAGAGGAAAGTAAGAGAAGACAGATCCAACGAATGAAGAGAGCTGGCTATTCACACTATCCAAAGATTAATATTTCGGACGTGCCAAGAGTATGCCTGCGTCATAGGACCAGGGCCAGGGCCGCCATCAGAGCGTGTGTGGTCTGCTGAAGATATTCATGGGATAGGGAGGCAGGAGACGTGGTTTCGCTCCTTGGGTTTTTTTTTTTTTTTTGGTAACAGTAATTCACTGCACCACCTTATTTTTAGAAATGGCCATCAATTTGGGATGCCCAACCATACAAGTGGATCTCTTCATCTTAAAGAAATTTTATCTGCATAAGGGGATCTGAATTTTGTCCAAAATAGAGGGTACTTGGAAGTACAGGTGCTTCTCCCAACACCTTCAGCTGTACCTTCATCTTCTAAGGCAGATAACAGAGTTCTCTGCAGTTTATTGTCAAGTGAAATTCTGCAGCTGAAGTTTCCATATTCAGTACAGACTACAAGAGAAACATGTTGGATGTGGCGAGAGGGAGAGATTCCCAAGGTCTCTGGCCAGTACTTTTCCTTCTTGGCTCTTCAACCTAGCAAGTCCTTCAGCCATAGAGCATGGGGTAGGGATGGAGTCGGTTCCCTCACTGTTGTCGGTGACAGCTTTCCAAGCAAAGAGTGCTCGCTGAATGTTTGCTGCAACGTGAGGATTTTCCAAACGTTTTTGGAGATGCTGACTGTAGTGACTGAAGTAGTGATAAATTGAACCTTGTCTATATATTTGTATTCAAAAACTGGGCTGTCCAAGACAGCAGATAGACTGAGACTGATAATTTTCCCCCATCTCTCATTTGTATTTAGACAGAAAGATCCAGGAGAGCGACCCAGTTCAAGGAGACCGTTTGTATTCTGTACAATAATATTGTTCAGGAGAACAACCCAGAAGAGACCCGGGAAATATTAGCAGGGGGTGTGGGGGCGTGTGTTTTCAGTACTGTGTGCAAAGGTGAATTAGAAAATCTGAGTGTGCAAGAGATTAGTATTTCCAAGCCTGAAAAGCTTCGCTGGTGGTTTATGGGACAGAATATCATGGCTGCAGCTGCAAAGGGGCTACAGTTTAATATGAGACAGAGCAAAATGAGTATGTATAGAAGGAGGAAAGGAGGAAGACAAATCCCAAGCTCCCCGAAGCAGGGACCATCATTGTAATCTATTTGTATGATTGCAGGGGGTTTTCATCCAACTCCTGCACACTGCCGCAGTTAACAGATTCAAAGATAACAAATAACAAATTACATTGTGACTTACATTTGTAGGGCTTTTCTTAAATAATGATTCAAATTGACTGACTTGTTGATGTTGTGAAAAAGCTGGTGTTAAAGAGAAGTTAAAACAAGGAGGTACAGTTATTTAATGTGCTCTAGGATGGATGCCAGATTACATCCCAGGTATCGCCTGCTCAGGTGAAAGGGATGTAGAGAGCACATAGGATCACGTGAGCTAACACAGCCTGTGCTCGAGGTAAATACGTTCCTCTCTACCACCAGAGCAGCTATGCTATTTAAAGACATCTAAAGTACGAAATTCTGCGGTTTAGAGCATCGCTGCTTGTTTATCTGTTGAGTGACCGCAGCCTACAGAGCCTTCCTTCCCCCTTGGTACTCTTATTATTTGTATTACAAAAGCAGCCACAACACATGAGACATTTGCTGCACGCACAAGGAAATGATATCTACTCCGAAGGGTTTGCGGTGTGAAAGGACAAAATAGTTCAAAGTGGAGAGTCGGGAATTCAGTGTAAATGCAAAGCGATTTGAGGTGCGCAGCCCATTTTCATTATTCTTTATCTTTGGTGCTCCTCGTGTGGTGGTCCCTGAGGATGAAGAGAAAGAGTAGCCCTGCCCTGGAAAATGGCATAGGAAGGGGGTGTGCCATTTTAAGGAGAAACCTGAACAGCGCTGAACTGGTAGATGACTAGAGCAGAGACCAGCTCAGTTGCTGAAGCGAGACGAGTGCCTTATTTTCAAAGTTTTATTTCCCAGTGGCAGCCTCGCATGTCTGTCTGGGCTGCCAGCGGTTGCCCTACATCCATACCCAGAATTTCTAGCGTCTTGCGCTTTGCCCCGAGCTTTTTTCTTTTCGCCTTTCAGGATTTTGTGCCTGTAACAATGTAATGCACCGGAGCCTTTTTTTTTCCTTTTTGTGGAGGGAGGGGTGGAAGGAGGGTGAGAACTGTGGCTATGGAGATGCAGGTAGATAAAGGTAATTACTTAAACATATATAGGGCAGGACTTATTGGTTTGGAGACCCAGATTAAGATGCAGAGGAGCATGTGAGGTTGATGATTATATTTCGGGGAGAGTTAATTGACGGAAGGTGAAGGCAGACAAAGAACCGCTGCTTACTGCCTTCTTGAATCCCAATCAGGAATTATGATTAAAGACGCGGCGAGACAACAGAGGCCTGATGAATTGGTGTCTTTTTTTTTTCTTTTTTGCCGTCATTCACACTTGATTGACTTCAACCTTTCAAGTGCAAAAGTCTCTCTTTTCCATTATTATTCATAGCCATCTGAGTTTTTCTAATTAAAGTGTATGAAAACAATTACTGATCCGTCGTACTGAGTCTGGTAGTGGGGATGGCTGCCTTACTGTAACGCGTATAAAAAGCCCACGGTTTTCTATAATGATGTGCAGCTGAGGTGTTAGATAATTTTATTCTTTTTCTACTCTGTTGGGGTTTTTTTAATTTCTCATGATTTATTTTTCATAATTCCTAAAGATCCTAGGAAAGCACTCTCCCTGCTGATAAAACGGAGAGGGACAGCTCCTTTTCTTGCCTCTCCTCCTCTGCTTCCCTGCTCATCCCCCTCCTCAGAGCCCGGTTACTATGAATTAACCAGTGACCTTTCACGTCTCGTGACCCACCACCCACAGCCATCAGATGCTCCCGGTTAGAATAAAAGGTGGAATGAATTTGGTGTGCTCAGCTTCCCTCCTCGTGATTTATCAGTGTCAGCTGCCTTTCCTGCAGATGTCTGTAGAGCCAAATGCTGTGGCTCTCCCTCTCCTCACCTTCACGCACCTGCTCGCTGCAGAAAGGGCCGTGGCTCAGCATCCCTCCCCTGCACCGTGTGGGTGCCTGGAGCCACGCATATGCCAACCTTTGTTTCAGAGGCTTTTCGTGGACTGTTTTTCTTCCGTTCTCTTAATAAAACCACGCCACGTTCTAGTCTGTGTTGGTTTGGATTTGACATACGCGTAGATAAGGAGGACTTCATGTCCTGCGCAGAGGTTTACACTATTTTGGCTGCAGCTTCACCACAGATTTGTTAATATCTCATGTGGTTCGCTCAGAGCTTTGTGGTCTCTGACTTGCAGAAAGCAAGCTGTACTCCATGAATATCACGGCCTCATTTGTCTCTTCCAAAATCCAAGGTTCACGTGCCTTCTCAGTATCTGATAGAAGAATGGAGAGATTTGTTTCTCTAGGAAACTTGTCCAAAAGTGTCTGTTACACCTCACTTTTCCAGCAGTCAGAAGCTGGGAGCACAGGTGCTGTAAGAAAGGTATTGCAAGTCAGTTTTGGTTTCTGTTGCTTCAAATACCATCAGCCCTGGTAAAATGGGAATGGTCCTTGGGTGTCAGCTGTGAGGAAGCGCACAGCTGCTCAAAGCTGTAGTGGCGTCTTTACTTGCTGCAGGCCTATGACCAGTGCTGGCAGCCGTGCACGTGAACGTCAGTGGTGGTACAAGACTGTCCTTCCAGTCCTTCCACTGACTGCTCTGGGAACTGTGGCACTGGGGTGGCTTTTAAGATGCTGTTAGATACTTAAGAAGCATATTTTGTCCTGCTTCTGACACCATCGACCCACAAACTGCACGCTAGGTGGTTTGTATTTTCGATGTGACTGTACACACGCAAAGGAATGTGATTTTCAAAAAAAAAAAAAAAAAAAAGAGTATAAGCATTTGACTCTTTTTTTAAAGAGTGTCTCTAATTGAATGACACAAAATTACCAGACTTTAAAAGACTTCAGAAATCTTGGAGTTCCAGTCCTGCACTGGTAATGATAATGCAGGTTCTGGACAAACGCTTGGAGAGGCAAAAGGACCATGTCAGTCAGAGCAAGGAAAGGGTTACCAAAAGCCTTTCATTTTGCAGACAATTCGCTGTCTTTTTAGTCTTTCCTTATTCATCCTTTCCTTTGTCACCTCTCTCCTTATTTGTTCTTTGCTTTCTCATGCCCCTCCTTTTCCTGCATCGATACACTTTGAAAACAGTGCTGCAATGCTCCCTAGTTCAAGATTACAGTGTACTTTACAAGGTATGATTTAATTAGGGGCCTTATTATGTTTTCAGCAGCTTAAGGTGGGCCTTTCAACTTATCTACCTAATTGGTTGCACAAGAAGTTTCACAGCCCATGACAAAACATTGTCAGTGATCAAAGTCTGAATTCTACATAAAGAAAAATATTAATAATAAGATTATTCTTCAAGTGTGCACTGCTAATTATGTCCAGAATGTAACTGTAGAAACACTTTTGACTGATGTGAGCTTTGTCTAGTAAACATGAGTCTTCAGTGAGCTATGAAAAGTGACGCCTGACTTTACAGTACTGGTGTCTAATTTTGCCACTGAAGATGTTTAAAACATTTTCTTGTGTTTTTCTACTCCCTGCATCCTTCCCTCCCTCCATTTCCAGGTGACAACACCTGAGGTGATGATGCCCAGCAGCATGTTTCTCCCAGCAACTGCTCCGGATAAAGATGGGAACTCCAATACCGAGGAACCGGGGAAACAGCCTGGTGAGTGTGACCGAACAAGGTTTGCCTCTGAAAAGCCAGGGCCTCGCGGTTCGCGCAGCCTGGGTCCCCAGGCCAGAGACTGTGTCTGAGGACACCTACACCTGGTTGATTTCCAACTGCGCAGCTATCTCCTGAGGTCCCCAGCCAGCCAGCACACAGCAGAGCAGTCTCCCGTCACCTGTGCCACAGACAGGCCAGTGTCCCACTTATCCCCACGGTGGGGCAGAGCAGAGCAGCTCTGAGCTGGTGACCAGAAGTCAGGTGAGCACTGCTCACCCGCTCTGGTGATTCATGTGGAAATTGTGTTCAGTCCTGGCACAGGAGGACACCAGATGTGAACAGTGAAAAACAGATGGAGTGGAGGGCTTAGAGAATTGGTCGAGAAACCAAAAATTTTGCTGCTGCTGGTCACAGAGGCTCTACTACTACCTCTGCTCTATTTGCTCGGTCTGCATCATAGCTGAATTATGTACATTGGCAACACAGTGTGGGGAGGTTTGAGCTGCTGCAGTGCTTATCCATCCCAGAGCTCCTCTGCCTTTTTCGTTGCCATGTTGTGTTATGAAGGCATACCTGTAAGTTAATGGCTGTTTATTCCTGGCTTTGTAGCTTGACGTGAGAACATCATAACATCATTCTGCATGGGCAGAAGTGTCTAATCTCAAACCTGGTAGGGGAATAATCCTGATATTCCTTCGGTGATGACCTCCTGGAAAGAGTCTGTAAGGAGTCTGGGAACTAAGACAACTGTTGCTTCCTTTCAGGCATGCAGCACAAAGGGAGAGATCCTGGTGGGACAGCAGTGACGCAACCAGGGTAGCTAGAGCTGCACTGGACAGTAGGATCCTCTGTTAGGCCTCTACCTGTACTGCACTGACTTTTCTGGCAGAACTGTGCTCTCACACCCTGGAAACGTGGCAGTGTAGGGGCTGCTTATTCTCTCTTCTTCCCTCATCCCCCAAAGAGCAGCCTTTGAGCTGCCACCAGCAGGGCCTGAACTGCATTGCTGTTGGTTTTGGCTTTGACAGGACCAAGACTCAAATATGTTCAGTCTGAGGAACCTTCTTACTGGAAAAGAGGCAGGACATCAAAGAAGAGTAGCAAAGACAGATAGGTGGATGGGTGGCCTTCACGTAAAAGGAAGAATTTAAAGGTGATAAATGCAGCTAAGAGAATGTGTGTGTGTAAGTAACTTGCAGATATTCAAAGTGGGCAAGAAAGTAAATTGTGTAGGTTTATGCAATGGGCCATGATAAGGGTAATGGGCTAGTATTAAAATAAATGAAAGAAGATACAGGAGAAATGTTAAAAATACCTGTGCTCTTGCAGAGAAAATAGCATTGCCATACCAGAGACAAAAAGGAGGTGTTGATCAGCCCTTGTGTGCTGGTGTCATTTTCAGTGGGTTAAAGGAAAACCTATGAGAAACGACAGTCTTAGCTGCAGTCATGGTGAGGGGAAAAATGCTTTTGCCTGTGGTCAGGAGAAGGACGTGCTGGACCTGGGTCCAGCCCCAAGCGAAAACAAAATCAGGGCTGTTTCTTTCTTATTTTCAGACTACACAAATGGCAAAGGTAGACCTTGTCTAAATTTTGAGATGATCGCTCAGCATCTGTTCATGCTTCTAGTTTTGTTCTGGTTTTGTTTTCACAGAGATCTCTGAGGACTCGGGAAAGAGCCTTTTGTCATCTGAAAGTGCAGAGCACAGTGGAGATCCCAAGCCAGTTCCAGCTGATCATAGCTCGGCCAGGGAGGATTCTGGTTTCCTTTGCTGGAAGAAGGGATGCAACCAGGTGTTCAAAAGCTCAGCAGCCCTGCAGACACATTTCAATGAAGTTCATGCAAAGCGGCCTCAGCTACCGGTGTCTGATCGCCACGTCTATAAATACCGTTGTAACCAGTGCAGCCTGGCGTTCAAAACCATTGAGAAGCTGCAGCTCCATTCTCAGTACCATGTGATCCGAGCAGCTACTATGTGCTGCCTCTGTCAGCGCAGCTTCCGAACCTTCCAGGCTTTGAAGAAGCACCTGGAAACCAGCCATCTGGAGTTGAGTGAAGCTGACATTCAGCAGCTGTATGGTGGTCTTTTGGTCAATGGGGACCTCCTTGCGATGGGCGATCCTTCACTTGCTGAAGACCACACCATAATAGTTGAGGAAGATAAGGAGGAAGAGAGTGACTTGGAAGATAAGCAGAGCCCTACAGGTAGCGATTCTGGGTCGGTGCAAGAGGACTCTGGCTCAGAACCGAAGAGGGCCTTACCCTTCAGGAAAGGCCCTAACTTCACTATGGAGAAATTCCTAGATCCATCTCGCCCTTACAAATGCACAGTCTGCAAGGAGTCTTTCACACAAAAGAACATTCTCCTGGTCCATTACAATTCAGTTTCTCATCTGCATAAATTGAAAAGAGCCCTCCAGGAGTCTGCTACTGGGCAACCTGAGCCTACTAGCAGCCCAGACAACAAACCTTTTAAGTGCAACACCTGCAGTGTGGCCTACAGTCAGAGCTCTACCTTGGAGATCCACATGAGGTCTGTCCTGCACCAAACCAAGGCTCGTGCTGCCAAGCTGGAGGCAGCTGGGGGCAGTGGCAGTAGTAATGGAGCTGGCAATAGCAGCAGCAGCAGTCTCTCCTTGGGTTCATCCACGCCAAGTCCAGTGAGCACTAGCAACAGTAATACTTTTACAACCACCAACACAAGTAATTCGGGCGTGACTCCCATTCCCAGCCTCCTCAACCAGATATCCAGCGACAGTGTGGGAATTCCTCCCTTAGGCAACCCTGTTAGCACTAATATCTCCTCTCCTTCTGAGCCCAAAGAGGTAAACCGGAAGAAGCTGGCAGACATGATTGCATCCAGGCAGCAGCAGCAGCAGCAGCAGCAGCAACAGCAGCAGCAGCAGCAGCAGCAAGCTCAAACCTTGGCACAGGCCCAGGCCCAAGTCCAGGCCCATCTGCAGCAAGAACTGCAGCAACAGGCTGCTCTCCTGCAGTCTCAGCTGTTCAATCCAGCACTTTTGCCGCACTTTCCGATGACCACTGAGACCCTTCTGCAGCTTCAGCAACAGCAACATCTTTTGTTTCCTTTTTACATCCCCAGTGCCGAGTTCCAGCTTAATCCAGAAGTTAGCTTGCCTGTCACCAGCGGTGCGCTGACGCTGACCGGTACAGGGCCAAGTTTACTGGAGGACCTGAAGGCTCAAGTTCAGCTCCCACAGCAGAGCCATCCGCAGCTCTTACAACAGCAGCAAGGTCAGCTGTCCTTGTCACAACCTCACTCTGTCCTTATACAACAGAGCCAGCACCCAGAGAAGAAAAATAAATCTGCAGTGAAGGAGAAAGAAAAAGAAGCCCCAAGGGAAAGGGAAAATACAGAGAGGGGAGACAATAATGCAGTGTCTAAGGAGCCTCTGCCTGATAACTTAAAGGCCAAAGACAAGAAGGACTTTGCACCAGGCAATAACACAGAGCCCTCTTTACTTCCTCCACGTATTGCATCTGATGCGAGAGGGAATGCCACGAAAGCCCTGCTGGAAAACTTTGGCTTTGAGCTCGTCATTCAATATAATGAGAACAAGCAGAAGGTGCAGAAGAAAAATGGGAAGACAGAGCAAGGTGAGAACTTGGAAAAGCTTGAATGCGATACATGCGGCAAGTTCTTTTCAAACATCCTCATTCTGAAGAGTCACCAAGAGCATGTTCACCAACATTACTTTCCCTTTAAGCAGTTAGAGAGATTTGCCAAACAGTACAGAGAACACTATGATAAACTGTACCCGCTAAGGCCTCAGACCCCAGAGCCACCGCCACCACCTCCGCCTCCCCCACCTCCACTCCCTCCAGCACCTCCTCAGCCAGCTTCTACTCCTACCATTCCTACTTCTGCCCCACCTATTACCTCTCCTACGATTGCACCAGCCCAGCCGTCTGTGCCACTCACCCAGCTCTCTATGCCAATGGAGCTCCCCATCTTTTCACCACTTATGATGCAAACCATGCCACTACAAACGTTGCCTGCTCAGCTGCCACCCCAGCTTGGTCCCGTGGACCCTCTGCCTGCCGACCTGGCCCAGTTGTACCAGCATCAGCTCAACCCTAGCCTTCTCCAGCAGCAGCAGAACAAGAGGCCACGCACACGGATCACTGATGACCAGCTCAGAGTCCTTCGTCAGTATTTTGATATTAACAATTCCCCAAGTGAGGAACAAATCAAAGAGATGGCGGACAAGTCTGGATTGCCCCAGAAAGTGATCAAGCACTGGTTCAGAAACACTCTGTTCAAAGAACGCCAGCGCAACAAGGATTCCCCATACAACTTCAGTAATCCTCCCATTACCAGCCTGGAGGAACTGAAGATAGACTCACGGCCTCCTTCTCCAGAGCCTCAAAAGCAGGAGTACTGGGGAAGCAAGCGATCCTCCAGGACACGCTTTACTGACTACCAGCTCAGAGTCCTGCAGGACTTTTTTGATGCCAATGCTTATCCAAAGGATGATGAATTTGAGCAGCTTTCTAACTTGCTGAACCTCCCAACCCGTGTCATAGTGGTGTGGTTCCAGAACGCCCGTCAAAAAGCTCGGAAAAACTACGAGAATCAGGGAGAAGGCAAAGATGGGGAACGGCGGGAGCTTACAAATGACAGATACATTAGAACAAGCAACCTGAACTACCAATGCAAAAAGTGCAGTCTTGTCTTTCAGCGCATTTTTGATCTTATTAAACACCAGAAAAAACTTTGTTACAAAGACGAGGATGAGGATGGACAGGATGACAGCCAGAATGAAGATTCTATGGATGCAATGGAGCTCTTGACTCCGACCAGTTCCTCCTGCAGCACACCAATGCCCTCACAAGCTTACAGCACGCCTACGTCTTCAGCTAACGCAGCCTCTTCAGCTTTTCTGCAGCTCACCGCTGAGGCAGATGATTCCTCCACCTATAGTTCTAAAGTAGAAGCTACAGATGAGAAACCAAAGCAGTCTGAACCTCCAAGTACACAGCAAAACCAAACTCAAGAGAAGCAAGTGCAACCAAAGCAAGAGTCTCAGCAGCAACAGGACCAAGGAGAACAAAAGACAAACTCAGCACACCAAAAGATTTCACAGTTATCCTCCCCTTCTTCATTGCAGCAGCCGCCTCCCCCTCCACAACCCCCTCAGTGTTCCTTGTCGCAGTCAAGCCCAAGCCCATCTCAGCTCTCACATCTCTCCCTCAAACCCATTCACACATCGACCCCTCAGCAGTTGGCAAACCTACCTCCTCAGCTAATCCCATACCAGTGCGACCAGTGTAAGCTGGCATTTCCTTCCTTTGAGCATTGGCAGGAGCATCAGCAGCTTCACTTTTTGAGTGCGCAAAATCAGTTTATCCACCCCCCATTCCTGGACAGAACGCTGGATATGCCTTTCATGCTTTTTGATCCCAGTAATCCACTACTTGCGAGCCAGCTGCTATCTGGAACATTACCACAGATTCCAGCAAGCTCAGCCACTTCACCATCAACACCAACATCCACAATGAACACACTGAAGAGAAAGCTGGAGGAAAAGGCCAGTGCAAGTCCAGGAGAGAATGACAGTGGGACCGGAGGAGAAGAACCACAAAGGGATAAACGTCTAAGGACAACGATTACCCCAGAGCAGCTGGAAATTCTTTATCAGAAATACTTGCTTGACTCCAACCCAACGCGGAAAATGTTGGATCACATTGCACATGAAGTGGGCTTAAAGAAACGTGTGGTGCAAGTTTGGTTTCAGAACACCCGCGCACGGGAAAGGAAGGGACAGTTCAGAGCTGTAGGGCCCGCTCAAGCCCACAGACGGTGTCCTTTCTGCCGAGCTCTCTTTAAAGCAAAGACGGCTCTTGAAGCTCATATCCGATCCCGTCACTGGCATGAGGCCAAGAGAGCTGGATACAACTTGACTTTGTCTGCTATGCTCTTAGATTGTGATGGAGGACTCCAAATGAAGGGTGACATCTTTGATGGCGCAAGCTTTTCCCACATGCCACCAACTAGCAGTGATGGTCAGGGTGTTCCTCTCTCCCCAGTGAATAAGAGCATGGAACTGTCGCCTCGAACTCTGCTGAGTCCGTCCTCCATTAAGGTAGAAGGGATAGAAGACTTTGAGAGTCCCTCCATGTCCTCAGTCAACCTGAGCTTTGACCAAACAAAGCTGGACAACGATGACTGCTCTTCTGTCAACACTGCAATCACAGACACTACAACAGGAGATGAAGGGAACGCAGACAATGACAGTGCAACAGGGATTGCAACCGAAACCAAATCAGCATCAGGACCCAGCGAAGGTTTGACAAAGGCTGCCATGATAGCAATGTCTGAATATGAGGATCGGCTGTCTTCTGGCCTAGTCAGCCCAGCTCCCAGCTTTTACAGCAAAGAGTACGATAACGAAGGTACTGTGGACTATAGTGAAACATCCAGCCTTGCAGACCCCTGCTCACCCAGCCCTGGTGCAAGTGGTTCAGCCAGCAAGTCTGGAGAGAGTGGGGATCGGCCCGGACAGAAACGCTTTCGCACTCAGATGACTAATCTCCAGCTAAAAGTTCTTAAGTCATGCTTTAATGACTACAGGACACCTACCATGCTGGAGTGTGAGGTCCTGGGCAACGACATTGGACTGCCAAAGAGAGTTGTTCAGGTCTGGTTCCAGAATGCTAGGGCAAAGGAGAAGAAGTCCAAACTCAGCATGGCCAAGCATTTTGGTATAAACCAAACAAGTTATGAGGGACCCAAAACAGAGTGCACTTTGTGTGGCATCAAGTACAGCGCTCGACTGTCTGTACGTGACCATATCTTCTCTCAACAGCATATCTCCAAAGTTAAAGAAACCATTGGAAGCCAGTTGGATAAGGAAAAGGAGTATTTTGACCCAGCTACTGTACGTCAGTTGATGGCTCAGCAGGAGTTGGACCGGATCAAAAAAGCCAATGAGGTTCTTGGTCTGGCAGCTCAACAGCAGGGCATGTTTGATAATACCCCTCTGCAAGCTCTTAATCTTCCTGCTGCATACCCAGCACTACAGGGCATCCCTCCAGTCTTGCTCCCAGGCCTCAACAGCCCATCCTTACCAGGCTTTACTCCATCCAACACAGGTGGGTATGGATATTCTCACACTGCTCAAAGTCACAACTTAACTTCGTGCACCTTTAGGACAAGTGGACGTTCCCTTGAGAACGTCTGACGATAGGCTACCCGGCCCTTTAGTTGAGCACGTTTACTTGGCGAGGTATGAGCAATAGATATTTTAAAGTTATATTGAAGGTATAAGCAATAGGTATTCTTTAATTCCTGAATTCAGGTTTTTCTAGCAAAGTCTGAAGCAGAGCAAGATCGAGACATGCTTCGTATTTCTGTTTCCTTAGCGCAGACTAAAAAAATCTGAAGCACCTTCAAGGAAATGGTAAACAGAGGATTTATCAAACAGAACATGAAAAGGACAAATGTGCTGAATGCATTGTTCATTGTATCTTTCCTTTTGATATTAAATTCAGTTTTATGTAATGCCATCCCGAATTCTGAACTGTTTCTAGGGAAAAGTGTGATGTATCTCATAGCAGCGGTGACAGAAACCTGGAAGATCTTTATGTAATGTCCTTATAGTAGCCTCCAAGACAAGCCCTGTGTCTGGCCATGCAGCTGTGGGTTGTTTTCTTTAGCAGTGGCTGGCATTCAGATCTGAAAATACCTTCTCAGCCAACAACAACATAGTCACGGGACAAATACTCTTTGTATTTTAATATGATTTTTCTAACAGTACTTCAGAAAAATGACATTTGGTGTAGTCCTTTGGGTAGCCTAATCCCAGAGATTAGACACTGTTTTGTTTTGGGTTTTTTTCCTCCTTTCCCGTGTACCTGGTAGAGGGTGGAAGGGATATGACGCATAGCAAACACTGACGGTGCAGGGTACTGCTCAGTAGTCTAGCAGTGACCTAGAAAACTTGATCCAAGGGCCTTACCTCTGGCGCATCTGTGGTATCCCAGAGTATCTATCTGAATTGCAACTTGTGAAAAAGTAATTCATGTTCTCTAGGAGGCTTACTTTTGCTTGGCAGACTTGTGTGTTTATTTCTGATGATCCTGATGGCTATGACGGTTGACTTTCACCAGGGCCTCTCCACGTTTACAGAGATATCCCTACAACTGATTCCAGTATCTTGTCTAAGCGACAGACTGAATCGGTCTCAGGTTGGAAAGCCTGTTATGCCATAGCGCCTGGGAGCATTACGCCATATCCCAGTATACAGGGATACAGGTCTAATGCTATTAGACAGTGTCCTGAAATGATGACTTTCTCTCATTGTACTGAACTAATTAGCTAACGAAGAGTTATAATTTGTAGTGTGAAGTCTAGATAGGATCTGAGAAGTCTGGATAGGCTTCTTTGTCAGAAATCAGTGATATCAGTCTCCATTCAAACTTTCTGATGCTTTTAGTCAGCAGGCTGCCTCTTAAGTTCCTTTTCTGACAGATTGAAAAACGCACTGCAAATGCTGCCAGGTAACGTGTTTGTGTCATGTTAATAAAGCAACCTTTTTATTTGTCATCCAGGAGGTAAGTCTTAGAATAAGTAAATCAAAACCTTAGACAGCATTCTGCTTCAAAAGGAGACCAGCTGGCACAAGCAGTTGTGTGGGACCTGAGCAGCTCATCTGATGTTTGCAGAGTGGGTTGGCTGCAGAGTTGTTCCCCGTAATCCCAGTACTAGAGCCTGAAGTTAGCATGTTGCTGCATTGACATTGTGGTATGGCATCCGAGAGAGAGAGCACCAGAGACCCATGTCTCAAAACAAGCATCATTTTCTGACTGTGGAGGGAAAGTGGCTCTCTTCACCTTTTTCTCCATCTCTGCTCGTCTCTGGAATGTCTGCCGTTGACAAGACGAGAAAGAGTTAAGTCTCAGTGTATTTGGTGGGTTTCAGCCTGTCCAAAGGTGATTCTCTCTCTTGGAGTAAGACCCTTTGTTCCTCCGAAGCAGCAGAGGGGAATGCCTTGTAGCATGGTTGCTGATGCTCGTGTGAGAGCGTCCTATTGGAGAGCATAAGAGATCGGAGCAGATTTTTTTTTTTGAATCTGGCAAAGCTGGGCCGCTGCGAGCCTTTTTTGCATAGTTACAGAACTCTTTTTTTCCTCAAAGAAGGTAAAGTGGTTCTTGACTATAGTTGTGGGGATAGTTCATTGCAATTAAACCATTTTTCAAAACAGTTCTTA